TAGAATTAAGGCAGTTCTGAAGGCGAAAGGGGGTCAAACACCGTATTAGTATGGTGTTCCTAATAATCCTTTAGGTGAGTGTATCTTGGAAAGCTGTATGGTCTCTAAGAAGATTTTTTTGTGACCAAGTCAAAGAAGTTACTTTCTAATTAATCCTTAAAATCTACCCCTACAATTTCTTTTCTAGATTTATTAAGTATATGGACACCAGCTTTTTGTAGGTTGAGTGTGATACTAATTTGCATTTATTTTGACTTGTCACACTGTAAAATTTTGGTCTGACATGCTTAATTTTATTCATACATATTTTGTACAGTACTTTTTCCTTTACCTGTAAAGATCTTTTTTGGAGTGTTTGTTTTTGAAAGAAAAGATGCAAATACATATTTTAACTCTATATTTAACTCTATTTTTTTTTTAACTCTATATGTTGGCAAATTTTTTACATTCACAAATGTAGGCTTTCTTTTGTTTTTTTTTCACAGTGTATTGTTAAATTATCCCAAGGCTATTAAAACTGTGCTCTTATTTAAAAAAACACTTGTATTTGAATACATTTTGAAAGTGCCTGTAATTCTTTTTTATTTTTTTAAATCCCCTTGACCCTTTACATGCTGTTTTTGCCCATAATTGTATCTTGCCATTATTTGAAAGTAATAAAAAACTAATTTATAATTATTGTTGTTATTATTATTTTTATGCATATAGTTAATCAATATGGAATACTGAGTCAACACACCTTTTTTTCTTGTTTAGGGTGACCAGATTATCAATGTCAATGAGGACACTTTCAGCTAGGATAGGATTTGTAATCTACTAGTTCAATTAAAAGGACCTGGATTTCACTTAAGCACTGAGTTCTTGCTGTGTGCCGATTGGTCAGTCTCCTAAAATCATGCATGTGTCACTAATGTTGATGTGAAACAGCTGGATGAGTCTTTCAGTCAAGGAAACTATTAAGTACAAGGACATCACAATTATTTAGCCAAGCACAGGAACCTTTCGGTTTTAAAAGTAGTTCATAAAACTGGAAGTAGCTCAAAGTGTCCTCTCTGACATAGATTATCCAATCACCCTAATTAAACCTAACTTTGTGAATAACCTGTTAGGCCTATATCAGGTGACCATATGTCCTCTTCTTTGATGCCTGGAATGTGCAGGGTTTCACTTTGTTTCATGTTGATATCTGCATGTCTGTTACCACTGGGTTTTACAGTTTTTGATAGCTTTTACCAAAATATCCATCCATTCATACAATAACACAATGACTGAATGCGCTATTCCCCAACTCTAAATGTTTAAAGTATGCGTTCCTTCACTGCATGCATAGGAATCAAAGGCAAGAGTGGTATTCGCAGTTGTGACAGCGAAACCACTATTCGTTCTACACAAATAATATTTCACATACACTGGAAAAGGTTTATTTTAGAAATCTATACACATGCCAATGTGTGTACGACCGCCTCGCCGATAGGTGGTGCGCTTGAAATGCAGACGCACTTGCTTTGATGATTCTGGAAGCCATTTCCTCTCTGCGCCCGCGGTTGTTCTGCTTCGGGAACAGCAAGCGTCGGCTGAGCCTGACGCTATGGAAGAGTACACGTTTAGGCCGTCCACCGATAGCCTGGACGACCCGCCGAATAGCCGCTTGTTCCTGGTAACAAGCAAGTCGATCGCGGAGGATGTGATCCGGGAGCATTTCAGCATCTACGGGGAGATCCAGGACATTTGGGTGGTGAAAGACAAACAAACGAAGGAGTCCAAGGGCGTTTCCTTTGTCAAGTTCGCCAAGTCTTCACAGGCATGCAGAGCCATGGAGGAAATGCACGGGAAGTGCCTCGCCGAGGGAACCAAGCCCATCAAGGTGGGAGCGTACCTAACCCGGCGTGGTGCGGCAGAGGTGCCGGTGCGCGACGCCGGTGCGGATGCGCTGATATCCCTCTTCCGTCCATCTGCTGTCTCGCTCCTTCAGGTGTTCATCGCGCAGTCCAGGGCGTCGGGGAGCCACCGGGACGTGGAAGACGAGGAGCTCACTCGTATATTTGTCATGATTCCCAAGAGCTTTACGGAGGAGGACCTGAAGGAGACGTTTAAGGTGACTCACGTTAAAAGCTCCCGTGACTGCTGCGAAGCCGTGTTTGTCAGACGCGGACAATCCGTCTTTTCTGTTACCCGTCTGTCCCTACCTACTACAGGAGTTTGGTGACATAGAATACTGCATCATCATCAAGAACAAAACCACCGGGGAGAGCAAAGGCTTGGGCTACGTCAGATACCAGCGGCCATCACAAGCCGCCACGGCCATTGAGAATTGTGACAAGAGTAAGTGTCTGTCATAGAGATCCATGAAGACACTGCACTCTGGGCCACAGCTGTAACGATGAATGTCATTATACCTGAGTGCCACTTTGTAGTGCATGTGTTCAGCCCTGTGCTGCCATTTCCTGAGGTTTAAACTTTTCGGCCTGTATCCAGCCTCTGACGCACATGATGGTGCTGCTTCTTGCTGAAGCGAAGGGCTGTTACCTTTGAGATGTAGAATAAAGCCAAAATTTCCTGTGGGTCATTCCATGTCAAATCATCACACTTTCAGACCTCATCGTCATGGATTTCAACAGAACTTGGCATGCTGATTTGGTCACATGAGTAACTCATGAAACTGAAATTGGCCGTGTCTGGGATCAATATTGAGGGAGATTTAAGCGAACAAAGTTATAATTTTCTTTTTGGCGGGGGGCTGTGACTTTAACTGGCTATATTTACCTTAATGTAAGCTGCACAGAAGTGGTCCTTATATTGTTTTAAAGCTATTGTCCAGCTCTGTAGATTGAACAAATAATATGCCATCCCCATATGAATAATTACTATGTAATAACCGATTAAATTATTTTAAAAAAATATTAAAGGTTGATCACTAACAGCATTGTAAGGTATTGTGGTTCTGATACACACTTCAGATCTCAGCAACAACTCAAAAATCAAAGACCACATTTTCTGAAGCTCAGTATCAACTCTCCTGTGCTGGGCATAGTTTCGTCAACACATCCTAGCCACCAATTATCATCATATGCAGCCACGACATAACCTTTGATGCTTGCAAAGTCGAGTGATTCCCTAAGTGTGCACTTACACTGAACCGATTTGCACACCTCACCTCTGATGAATGCAGGGCATTTATTAGCCATATTTACTAGCCATGTGGGCCTTTCCAATAGTATGGCAAGTACAGTTGTCTACAATGACATTAATGAAGCTTCCATAAACTTTATTGTTCATTGTGTCTCCTGTTTATCATTTTATGTCCCCCCCTCCCCCCCAGCATTTAGGGCAATCCTTGCAGAGCCTAGAAACAAAAATGTATCTTCAGAAAACGAGTACTTTGGTAATTCTCGAGCAGACCACGGGGTAAATGATCCGGGAATGAGTGCCTACCCCTTTGGTGAGTTTCCACATACCCTGCATGGGGGGGGGATGGTGGTGGTGGTGGGGGGGGTGGGATGCCATCCGGCCACTTGCATGTCAGCTGTGCCTGTTTCTGCACCCACCCCTGTTCTCCAAGGCAGATGGCAGTAACTACTCCATGGGTGATGTGCGTGGTGCTGACATCATCACACGGTGCCTCATGGTGTCCTCCAGAGCGAGCATCACACAGGAGCAATTATATGGCCTTTTTGACCTGATCCCCGGCATGGAATACTGCGAGGTGCAGAGGGACCCCTATGGCTTCAGCAAAGGTAAGCATGAGCTGGCGGGGATGGCGGTACCCACCATTTTTTGAGGAGGGGGGGGGGTTAGCAGAGTAACGTCTTCCTTGCTCTCAGGTCAGGCCATGATCCGCTACAATAACCTGGGCTCGGCCATTTACGCCAAGGAGAAACTGCACGGCTTTGAGTACCCCCCCGGGAACCGGCTAGCAGTGTCCTATGTGGATGACGGGGAGGACCGCTCCAGGTAGGTCCCGTGAAAGATTTCAGGGTACCCAGTCTGCGCTGCCTGACCATGCGGGTGCTTCTCATAGCCTGCTGGGCTCTTTCCACCTACAGCCCGGTGGGGAAGATGGCCATGCAGCTGGTGGCAGCACAGATGATGTCAATGGTGTGGAGCGGCCCAGCTGGGGCCCAACTGATGAAGACTGGCGCGGTGAGGAAGGCCAGGGGTGGGGGCCAGATGTGATAAGTGCAGCCCTCCCTTCCTGTGGCATGTGCCTGACCCCACCTCCTCCCTGCAGGGCTACCCACCCCCTGCCATCCCGCAGATTCCCCGTGTGCAGACTGATGTGGCCCTGCCCCCCCCTAAGAAGATGGCACCCTCCGATAGCCGGGTGAAGGAGCGGCTCTTTGTGGTGTTCAACCCGGCACCACTGCCTGTCGATGTGTTGGAGGATGTGTTCTGGTAGGTTCCCTGCAAGCCAGCCAGCGTCGGGGGTTAGGGTGCTCTGCCACCCTGGCAGCTGCCACATTTGTCCTCCCCCGCAGTCGCTTTGGTGCCCTCCTGGAGGTGTACCTGGTCCCAGGGCGTAACGTGGGCTACATGAAGTTTGCTGAGCGCAAGAGTGCCACTGAGGCCATGGCGGCGCTGCACGGCAAGGTGGTCAATGGCGTGAAGATGAAGGTCATGCTGGCTGACCCACCCAAGGAGGAATCCCATAAGCGACAGAGAACCTACTGATGAGGCTCCACTGAACGGTGAGTATGGCGTCATGTGCTGGTAAGCTGGCTGGGTGTTACCTCACCCTGTTCTTCCTCCTCCTCTTTGTACAGCTCAACCCCTCACCCCACCCCTCCACACCCCACCCCACCTCACCTTCCCCTCCCCCCCAGGTGCAGGGGAGCTGCAGTGCCACCCGGTGGTGTCTTGTGTCTGAATGGACAGCTGTGACAGGTGCCCTGTAATTTCATCATGTTCATTATTATGGTGGACAGATATGGCTGCAGTTGTTTGTGCATGTGGAATTCAATGTCTTGGCTGTGGTGAAATATTTCTCAAGGTAAGGCTAATCATTTAGAAGAATATTTCTTTGTAGCTTTGTTCGAGTGAGATGAGAAGTACAGTTTGCTGGTGGGTGTGTGTATTATACACAGGGAATCAAGCTAAAGGGTAATGTTAAGTGCTGCTTTCCCCCTCAGAGCTGTGCTGCGTGCCTGTACTTTCATCACAGTGTGTGGGGTCTTCCTCCAGCAGGGGGCGCCTGCGTGCCCCTTGGCTCATGAGTGAGCAACAGAGACGAGCTTGCTGCGTGCATCTTTACGGTTTTGTTCTTGTTTCTGCAGAGAGATAAGTGACATGACCCTCAGCATGACTGGACATAGAGACGGTGACGCAACCGGCTAGCGACCGACAGTGACTGCATATCTTTGTGTAACGCTGCTGCTGACTGCAGCCATTTGTTTGCTATGAAAGTTTCTCTCCCTCTTTTTTGGAGTCACCAGCAGTATCCCAACAAGATGGAAAGTGGTTCTTTAAAATAATTTTGGGGACAAACAAGTTATTTTGTTATGTATGTTTTCTTGATTTTCTGCAATTAAAATATGCTTAAAGATCTTGCTGTGGTGGGTGGGTATCTGTTCATTCACCGTCCACATGGTGGCCCACTGAGCCTCCTCTGCGCCTGACTGAGTGATATTTCCCAGAATCCTTGGCACTCATTTCCTGTGCTTGGGTTCTGGCTGTAAATGGACACTGGTGATGTGTAGGGTCATGTGTGTTGCCTCCTGTCCTGCATGCCCCTCTTCCACACTCTGTTTGTGGGGTTTTATGCCCCTACATTTAACTGGGGGCATGGGGCGGTTTGAATTTTGCTAAGACCTTTTTACTTTGTTTCAGGAAACAAAACTTGGCAAGCTTTGCAATTTTAATGATTTTTTTGCTTTTCAAGATTGATTAGATGATGTTTAGAAAATCAGCTGGTTTATCGCCACTGCTTTTGCATGAGCTCTATGCATTCTCTGAGCCACTCATAATCATTTTTATCCATGCTGTTTAAATCATTCCTAGATGGGAAAATTTATTTTTAACTTTTTTGTTATAAGTATCTCAGTATTTAATGGAACAAAATCACAATGCAATATTTGATTTTTTTTCCAGTATTGTGTATCCCTATTATATTATAGCAAATACTTTATTTCTTTTCATGCTGTCTACATCTTGTTGAATCTGTTATTCCAACCAGATCACATGTAAGACTTGGGCTGCTTCATTTGTCCAACCATCCATTATTACTACTTAGAGTTTTTTTTTTTAACTTTGTTTTCCGAGTTTGTAACTATGCTTTTTCAGGATAGTGGATGTATTTTCTGTTTGTGAGGCAGATTATTTGCATAACCAATGGCAGTAAACACGTTTGCAAGTCCCACCACAAAGAACAAAAAAGTACCCCAGCTGTACTGGTACTTTTCAGTGTTCAGTGGAAAAGGGAAAGTACATTATTTGCAGTATCAAAGTTATTGGACAGGTTTTTGTGGTCTAGAGATGCACCAATCCCATATTCAGGATTGGTATTGGTGCTTATCCATACCTATTTGACGGATCGGGTATCGGCCTCATGACAACTCTATCCCATTTTTGTTGTGTTTTGCGTGGCATTCTAGCTGAGTGTTAATGCTGCCATTCAGTGTATTGGGTGTGTGCAGTAACTTGCACCTACTGTGCAATGTCTGTTTTATTTTGTGCAGTATAGTGCATTTTCACAACATTACATGTGCATACCCTTTGTAGTAGGAGGAGAACATCAGATAAGTGGGTAACGATCTGGAAGTATTTTAAGCTTGGAACAACAACTAGTAACAGTGATTTGCAATCTTTGTAAAAACAAAATTTTGAGAGGTGAAAGTACTTGCACTCGCTCTCCCTCTCTCATGCACAGCAATGTGCAGCACACACTTGGAGACTCTGCTTTTTAGTGATGGTGGGGGGGAGAACTAAACGTTGAAAAGTGTAATATTTCAATAGAGTTGATGCTGGCTATGCCTTTTGCATGTAAGGGCAGAAGCACCAGCAATCTGTCAAAACATCTAGCAGAAGTCCATAACGGGCATATGGAGAAATGCAGTTTTTGACTGCCTAGCTCGTAGTTTGTCTGTCGTTACCTCAGGTATGTTACTTTTGCTAGCGGGCTGGAGCCCACACGTGGTGTTAAATTGTACGAATATAGGTTAACGATTAAAAGTAACCATTAGCTGGCTGATTCCTGTGCAATAAAATGTGATGATGCAAAATGAAGAGGAACTGCAAATTAATGGAGAAGAACTGGTATCCAGCATGAATTGTCTACTAAGTTATTAATGAAAGGATGTCTGACCACTAGAGGGCAGTGGGATGCTTTGTAAGACAGATAGAAGACTTTAGACCCAGGCTGCATCGCAACATCTGGGGTCTGGGTAAAGAGTTTGTAGGTCAGTAGTTCGCAATCCTTTTCCTGCCACCCGCCTGCCGGAATATTTTCATTCCAACCCATATTGCGTTCAACCTGCCACATTCATTATTAGCCTATTAAGTACCATATAACCATGAATATGGTACGATTGGAATAAAAACATTCGGGGGGGGGAGGGTTGCCAGGAAAAGGTTGGAAACCACTGTTGTAGGTGAATCTTCAGAGATGTTTTTCAACAGGGTTGAAGTAGAGGTGGGCGATACATCGACTTTATCGATTAATTCGAATTTCCGATTAGCGGAAGATGATGGATGGATGGATGGATAGTTCAGGATGATGTGTTTTTATGAAAATCGATTTTATTACTTATTTTACATGAGAGCGCCAAAAACGGAACTAAAGCGACGCACCATTCTTCACAAGTAAATTAGCACCCAGCGAAATGTAAATAGCCGCAGCACCAGCACAACATCCAAAGTTCAGCAAGCAACCGTCCCTGACACGTTTTCGAACTGTGTGCCATATGATAAAAATGGGGCATGGTGGAAGGCGATAAACGCTGTCGCGATGTATACTGCAAAAGACATGGTGCCCATACATACGGTACTGTGGAAAAGCCGGGATTCATTAACATGCTAAAAGTTTTTACAAGTTTTTAAAAGTGTTTACAATGACATGGTCTGCTATCTCACTTACAAGCATCTTTTTTGGCTTGTCAGATTGCACTTCAATGTAAAAAAAAATAAAAAATAAGGTTAAAACTTGTTTTGAACCATTTATTTGTCATCTGTAGTTTGATTTTGAGTAGGGGAGGGGAAAATCGATTAAAATTGAAAATCAGATTTATTGTGAAAAAAACAGAGATTTTATTTTTAGGCCATATCGCCCAGCTCTAGGTTGAAGCCTGGATGTTGAGTACTGTTCCGGTATCTGTAGGCATTGCAAAGCACCTATGCTGGACCTTGCCTATGGAAAATTGATTGAATTAAGCAAGTCGATCAGGGGTCAGGGGTGGAGGGGATGGGTGGTGTATGCTAAATTGACACATTTGAATAGGCTAAGAGTATGTCAATGTGTGGGTCACCTGGGAAACCTCAGGAGAGCCCATGCCATCCCATCACTGGTGATCAGGCCTCCCACATCATGGCAAGTCGTCAAAACCTACAATTGATTTTAAGTTTGTGTGTTTAAATGTTCTAGCTGCAGAAATGAGCATGTGGCTTGTGGTTGGGTCGCCAACATCATCTCTTCATTTAATAACCAAGTGTAATGAAGTGTTTGTGAGATGAATTTTGACCTTGATAAAAGCAAAAGTATTGTACCATTAAAAAGTTTTTGAGCCTGTGAACTATACATGCCTCTGACCCCCTGAAATAATAATAACAATAGTAATAATAATAATAATGACACTTAATTGATCCTTTTGGGGAAATTCTCTTTTTACTTAGGAAAGGTAAGCTACTTGCAGCGGTGCCTGTGGATCTGGGGGTTAGGGTTAGCTCAAGGGCCTGCAGATATGAGTACTCTACTGAGGCCAGGCTCAAACCAGCAACTTTCTAATCACAGTAACAGAGGCTTAGCTAAATTAGGAAGTGAGAAATTGGGCACAGCATTAGGTGAATGAGTGTGAGGTTCAGTGTGCTGTTCATGGACACATTGGCACATTTAAGGTGGTTAAGCACTCGACGAGGTCCCAAAAAATGTGGAATTATATATGAAGGTGCTACTTCATGAAAATTCGTAATTTATGAATTGCATTGACTGGAAGAATAATTAATTGTGTAATACATTTATTTTATAGATGATGGGTGTATGGAATGAGCTTGTTTATGTATGAATGGGTGAAATATATTTTGTATTACAATAACTAAGTGGAAAAAAAACTGGACGTTGGTTTACCTTCTCTTCATTGCAGGTATCAAAAAATGATAATGTTTTTTTTTACTTTTACTATTTTGCTATTTGTTTACTATTACAGCTACCATGCTGAACTATAGCTCACTGGAGAGTACTTTATCAAAGTGAAGTTACTGTAATTTCAGTGTAAGCTTCTAGCCTTGTAACACCTACACCCCTTTCAGTTAATTTAAAACACATTTTTTGTTGTTTGAAAGCAGCTAAAGAGTACTTTCTTCTCAATAAAGTTAAATAACTACCCCTCCCCCATATGCTTGTTTCGAGGCTCGATAATAATAATAATTATTATTTTAAAAATGGTACGCTGGACCAAGTACGCTTTGGACCAAGTAACAGTTCGATGTTTTACATAGATGTAGTATGCATACATATGTATTTCTTCATAAAAAATTGCACTTATAACCAAGAGGGCCTGGCTGCAGACCTCCACCAAGAGGACCAGAAACGCATGATCCTCCACCAGGAGGATCTCCACTAGAGGGCCAGAAACATGCGATCCCCATAAGTGAGTCTGCACATGACGTTATGCAAACCTACGCCATGGAGGCAGTACCAGATATCACATGACCTCCACACACAGCCTGGATTTTAACTCGACCAAACAGTAATCGAGTCCTTTAAAGTATATAGTTCTTATTTCAGTGATCGATTTCAATTAGATTATTAACATTGGAAACGGATATTAATAATGTATTTTAATTCTACAAGAAGGGACGTTAATAGCATATGTTCATTTTAATATTTCTGTGTGAAATTCTCACCATTTTGTAGCTTTCGATATGAAAAATATCTAACTTTTTAATTTAAAAGGAAACAAAGTGCAAACAGACCTTTAAAGCATGGCATGAGACATGACATAAAATGTCCTCATAGCTCATTCAACCACACAAGTAACCTTGTAGAGGTTTTACCAATACCTCTACAGTTGCTTGCATTAAAGTTTTGCCAAAGTTTTTAAAGGTTCTAGCCTAAATATGTATCCATTTGCATAGGGTTGGAAAAGTATCAGCTTTATTATTATATAAACATATAAATATAAACAATTGCATAAATAACTAGAGATGCTTTTCTGCAAAAAAATGTAGTGTCTAAAAAAAGAGTGGAATTCAAAAAATAAGAATAAAACGTATAACAATATGTGATTGCTCATTACAACCACATAATAAACTTAGGAAACCAACAAACAAAACTGGCTCAGTCTACTTTGAACTATTTTATTACAATAATAGAATAATTAATAAAAATAACTTTAAATGAAGACTAGTGATGGGCACTGTGACTCATCTCTAAGGCAATAAACATATAGTGTTGACCCAGAGGTGTCAACACAGTTTTTAAGAAAGTGTTCCATATCTTCTTTGTACTGAAACACAAAAAGAAAGGGACCGAGGTCATCCAGGTCATCATTCTGTTTTAAGTTTGTCAACAGCTTTCTGGAAGTCCTGCACATCCATAGCTAGAAACTGCGGTGCAGTCACATGTTTTTCATTGGACTGCACCCACAGCATGGCAACACGTAGGTTCCTTGCAACTCCTGGCTCCTATAAAATGTAACAAAAATTTTATAAGCAAACCAAGTGAGACCAAAAGGATCAGTCTTTGTCAAATAAATTCTGTACAGCAACTATGTTGTACATCTATTATTTTTTATACTTTTATTGTTATTGTGTTTTCTTTTAATCATACTCTGTATAGTACTCTGGTAAGTGCAAGCTGTGTCTAAATGTGCTTTATAAATAAATCTTATTTACTATATGTTAGTATAGGATCACACATGCACATATCACAGGGCCTAAATTCCAGGTGGCCTGAGACAAGGCCGAGCCTGGTACGAAAGGCACCAAAGGGGGGTTACACACATAAACACACACACACAGATAACAAGGGAGACC